GGATAAATTCGCATATCAGATAAATCCACATAAATTTGCAATATATCTGGATATATGCAAATATATTCAGATAAATTCGCAAATATATCCAGATATATGTGAATATATCCGGATATATGTGGATATTTAATGTGAATAAATGCGCAGGTGGTCAAATATATTTGAATTAATTTAAGGCAAATATATCTGGATATATTTGCTATTAAAAATTTCCTGATGAAGGGTAAATTAAGAGATAGAAAGATAAGTGAATTATTTTATTAAAAAAATAATAATAAAGAAAGAAAAAGCCTGTGCCATTTTGCGATCGCCTGTACAATCCCTAAGCTTTATTTTTTTTAAAAAAAAAATCTATAGATCTATAATTTTGGAATTTCATAATATTTCATCCCCCGTCAAAATACTAATTTCGACTGGAGTTACACTAAATTTTGACCCCCGTAAATATTTTCGTTTTTATGAATTTCGAAATTCAATTTCGAGATTATTTTAAATTAACTGAGGTCAGGTTTTGGATTTTTAATTTTGGGGCATGTATAGTATAGACCATATATCATACTTGTAGTGACGGTAACGTAAGTTTTTGGATTAACAACTGAATTAGATATTTCAGCTTGAACAATTTCATCATAGTTATTGGAAGACATTGGTTTATCATCAGGGTGAAGTATTAACAAAAGGTATGTATGAAGTAATTCCCATTTTTGAAATTTAATAACATTGATGTAAGCAATAACATATTCCAGAACTTCATATTTTATAAGATCCTTTTTAACACTGTTAACTTTTCTCTGAAGATATGTACCTCTTTGACAAATTTAAAATTTCACTTAGTAAATTTTTAACTAATAAGGTTAATTATAATCATGACATATGTATTTGTAATAGTGGATCTATCTTCTACCTTTTGTTCAGGAAATAATAAAGTATGAATTTCTGGTCATTTCAGATTACAGGTTATAGTGATAAATAAATTCAGTTTTCCAATACAAATTAAAACCATTGCATCTTGATAATGTTGAAACTATACTTGCACGCAAAATTATTTTGGGGTCCCGAAATTACAATTTCAGAGAAAAAAGTCGAAATAGTTTTTCATAGAAGACAAAATTATTTTACTTAAAACCCGAAATTTTTTGACCACCCAGATTT